TCACCCAGGCTGGCCAAACCTCCATGGGGTGAGGATCCCCACTGGGGTGGACATCCTCCGAGGGGTCCCACACTGCAAGAGGGCATAGGCCAGGCTGAGGGACCCCCCGAGTGCACAAATTTTTGTGCACCGGGCCTCTAGCCTAGTTTAATTTGAATGTGAGGATTCTTTTATTTTTAGAGCTTTCAGTGGGAAAGATATACAGAATCTCTAGGCACACTAGTTTTCCAACATACCTTGAGATTGAAAAAGGCTAATGTATTTAATGTTATGCTTGGCAGGATGAGTTAAACTTTAAATTATTTTAATTTTAGCTCATATGCTTTTGCTTCCCCGTGCTCAGGGCTGTTGGTTCCTAGCTTCAGTTAAGACAGTGGTTCTCAACCTTCCTAATGCCGCGACCCTTTAATACATTTCCTCATGTTGTGGTGACCCCCAATTTCATTGTTACAAATTGAGCATAATTAAAGCATAGTGATTAATCACTAAAACAATATGTAATTATATATGTGTTTTCTGATGGTCTTAGGCGACCCCTGTGAAAGGGTCATTTGACCCCCAAAGGGGTCGTGATCCACAGGTTGAGAACCACTGAGTTAAGAGATCATTGAAGCTGACCTGCATCCAGTGTTACAACTGCCACTGACTGATTGCTTCACCTTTCTGAGCTTCTATCTGTTCATCTGTAAAGTTGGGATTAGAAGTGTTTCTTTTAGTATTATATTGGAATGAGAGTGTGAAACTATTGATGGTGTATAATAACTGTTAGCCATTTGGAATAAATTTCTTTAACATTAGCTTAAGCACAACACAATTAAACATATAAGTGAATACCCCGAAAATCATGTAAGTATTTAAATCCAATGGAAAGGTTTGGGGCATCCTATACATTACCATCTGTACTGTTCTATCACTACAGATAGTAGGAAATTAGTTTCGTAAAATTATTTGTGTATCATCAGTTGCTGTGCTAGTTTGTTCCTTAAGGTGGAGCTATTGTTTATCAGATTGTAGTTTTTATCTTGACAAAACATAAGCAACAATAAGAAAATTAGAATTTCTGTTTTAAGTTTCTTTTTTCTTTTTTAATAGGTATGACTGGTATCAAACAGAATCTCAAGTAATCATTACACTTATGATTAAGAATGTTCAGAAGAATGACGTAAATGTGGAATTTTCAGAAAAAAAGGTCATTAGTGTTTGAACTATTTTTTATGTTGAGAGTAAATACTTTTATTTGCAAATATAGTATGTTGCAGAGTAATCTATAGCAGTTTATCAGATATGTCATTTCTTTCTGAGATTATGTGGAAAATGCTGATGGAAATCTAAAGCATTGCTTTCAATTTGCATCATTTTAAGTTTTGAGATAAGAGTATGTATATGGTAGGTTATAGTTAGATGTACGTTCTTTAGATTTTTAATTCAAAGCAGAACTTGACTAACAAATATAAAAGGTGCTAGTAAAATGTGATTTGTTTATATTTGTGTGGTATATACTTCATGAAGAAAGGTCTACTTATTGTATAATTTATACATCTTAGAATTTAACTATATTAAATGAATATGACTTTTAATATCTTGGTTTCTCAGCATTTAGTAGAAAACTTTATGATAGAGTTAGTGGTAGAAGTAGATGTTTTGCATATGAATATTTTCTTTTATACTGTGTCATTATGCTCACTATCTTCTGTTTCCTTGAGATTTAAATATTAAGTATGTGTTTTGAAACATTATTTTTCACTATTTAACTTAATTGTGTATGTGAGAATCCATGTGAAGGATACCAGGTTTTAAAAATGGATTATTTTGAGGTTCATAAATCTGTGTTTAAATTATTCTGCAACGTATTGAAGTTCTGTAATTGTATTTAGTTTAAGTATTTTACCCTTCATTATATAAATTTATAAAACGTGCTGCTAATTTTGTGTTTGTTAGTTGTCTGCTTTGGTGAAACTTCCTGCTGAAGAGGATTACAATTTGAATCTGAGACTTCTTCATTCTATAATACCAGAACAGAGTACGTTTAAAGTACTTTCAACAAAGGTAAGACAATTGAAAAGGGTCGTCAGTAGTAATATTTTCAAAATATAGAAACGTTGGTCAACTAATTACCCATGTGATTATAAGCTTGTAAATCCTTTCAGCTACATATCTCTAAAAGGGACAGGTAAGTAATGATAATTTGTGCTTGTTTATTTGTTAATCTTCAACTGAGGAAATTTTTTCCATTGATTGTTAGAGAGTGAAAGGGAAGGAGGGAGGGAGGGAGAGGGAGAGAAAGAAACATTATAGATTGCGCACCTCCGCACCTGAGTTTTTTCCACACTGCGCCTCCTCTGAGCCTCGGTGTGCTGTTATTTTTCCTTCTAGTTGAAGAGTCTCTCCTCAGCCAGCCTTCCTGCGGTTCTGGGTGATGTCCGTTCCGTCTTTTAGTTGTATTTTTGAAGTGGTTGTTTGCGGCAGCAGTCTGCGGTGTTTACCTATGCCGCCATCTTGGTCTCCCCTCGATTGGTTGCCTCTTGCATACGCCCAACTGGGGCTGGGTATCGAACCTGCAACCCAGATATGTTTTGCCCTTGACTAGGAATCGAACCAGAGCCCCTTCCATGTGTGGGTCGATGCTCTATCCACTGAACAACACTGGCCAGGACAGTAACCATAATGTTTGAGTAACAATTTTCTCCTCCCTAAATTCTAGGACAATCTATTTCTCTCTCTCTCTCTCTCTCTCTCTATATATATATATATATGAAAGCCTAATATGCAAAGTGTCCCCTCAGGAGTTAGACTGGGAGTTTTATTGCTTGCTATGATGTGCGCTGACTACCAGGGGGTGGTGCGGAGCGAAGGGAGGCTCTGGCCAGCAGCCAGAAGGCCCTAATTGGCCCTGATCACCAGCCAGGCCTAGGGACCCTACCCGTTCACGAATTTCGTGCACCGGACCTCTAGTAGAGCATAAAATTCTACTTAATTTCAGTGGTATCTGTATACTTACTAAGATATGTGTAATACTTCTCAATAAAAAGGTTTTCAGGGGAGAACCAAGATGGTGGCATAAGGTATATAACTGTACGTGCCGCCCCCCACAACCACATTAAAACTACAACTAAAAGACAAAACGGCTATCATCCAGAACCACGAGAAAACTGGCTGAGTGGAAGTTCTACAACTAGAAGGAAAGAAAAAAGCTCATTGAGACTGGGTAGGAGGTGCGGAGGCATCAAGAGCAGAGGTACGCAGGTGCACGAAACGACTGCAACTGGGCACGCGTTTTTTTTTTCAATCAGAAGGGAGATACAAGCTCCCGACTGCTCTGAACTCGTTTCCAGCGAGACTCTAGGGACCCAGACTCCTCCAGGGAGAAATTGGACTGTCTGGCAGCAGGTCGGAAAGTGAGGGTGGCTTTCTTGCAGAGCTGCTCGAAGGGATCATTGTTACTGTGGGGGCGCAGGACATGGGGATGCAGAGATGCGGAGATGGCTGACGGACAGCCATCACTGTTTGCTCTGCCCTGGTGATTCTCTGAGACCCCGTCCCACCCAATTTACAACCCCACCCAAGCTGTGAGCAGCAGCGCAAATGAATTGCCTGTCCTTTCGCAGCCTAACCTAACAAACTGCAGCTGGGTCAGAGAGCTCCAAAACTTCCAAACCCCAAACAAAGAGGAGAAATCTGCAGATCTCGTTGTAGCTCCTGCTGGGTGGACTCACGCAGCAGCTGACTTTGCACCTCCTTGGAGATCCAGGAGCCAGTGTACCCAGTGGTCAGATACCAGATTTCAACTCCTCACATCCGTAAGTGACACACCCAAGAGGCAGACTCAGTGAGCACCAAAGCCCCACTGAAGCAAGTCCTGCCCCATAAGGGTGTCTCCAGCACAGCAGTTTTTCCACTATAGACACTGCGGGTCCTTGCAGTCAACTGGCCTGGAGGTCATTTCCTCCCAGAGATACCAACAGCAATCAAGGCTTAACTACAACAAGACTGTGCACCCAGCACACAAAGGGGTGCACCAAGAGTGTCCACCTCAGGTGATTGGGGAAGCTGAGCCATTGGGCCCAATAGGACACCTACCACACAAAGCCACTCTATCAACACAGGGAAGCAGCCAAAATGCAGAGATAAAGAAACATGTCACAAATGAAAGAAAATGAGGAAAGCAAACTACTGGATATAGAGTTCAAAACCACAGTTATAAGGTTACTCAAGAATCTTCTACAAAGCTCCAAGGAAGTGAGATCTTAATGAGATGCCAAAAAAATGGAAAAGGACCAGTCAGAAATTAAGCATACACTGACTGAAATAAAGAATAATATACAGAGATCCAACAGCAGACTAGAGGATCCCAAGAATCAAGTCAAAGATTTGAAATATGAAGAAGCAAAAAACACCCAACCAGAAAAGCAAAAAGAAAAAAGAATCCAAAAATATGAAGATAGTG